AAAATCTGTACATCTAAAGAAACTAATCAAGAGAGAGGACCCTGACTAAAAGGCTCAATCCCCATGCCAAAAAGCAAAGGGGATGGACATCAGAAGAAGAAAACAGGAAACAACCTAGGAACCTGCCACAGAGGGCCTCTGAAAGGCTCTTCCCTGCAGACTATAAAAGCAGACACTGAGTCTTATGGCCAACTGTTGGGCAGAGTGCATGGAATCTTATGTAAGAAGTGGGAAATAGTAAGATCTAGAGAGGATAGGAACCCCACAAGGAGAGCAACAGAACCAGAAAATTTGAACACAGGGGTCTTCCCAGAGACTCATACTCCAACCAAGTACCAGGCATGGAGATAACCTAGAACCCCTGCACAGATGCAGCCCATGGCAGTTTAGTGTCCAAGTGGGTTACATAGTAATGGGAACAGGGACTGTCTCTGACATAATCTGATTGGCCTGCTCTTTGACCACCTCCCCCTGAGGGGAGAGCAGCTTTACCAGGCCACAGAAGATGACAATGCAGCCATTCCTGATGTGATCTGATAGACTAAGATCAGAAGGAAGGAGAGGAGGACCTCCCCTATCAGTGGACTTGGGGAGGGGCATATGTGAAGAAGGGGGAGGGAGGATGGGATTGGGAGGGGAGGAGGGAGGGGTTTATGGGGGGATACAAAGTGAATAAAGTGTAATTAATAAAATAAAATAAAACATAAAGAGTCCTTCCTCACCAGTCTCATCAACTAAAACTGCTTTTTCCTCTGGACAACCTTTATTATGCCCAGTGCAAAATTCTGTTTTGTTCTGTACCTTCAAAGAACATTGTTGGCTTTCATGCATATTTTCATGATGCGATTTTAAACAAATTTCCAGTGACTTCTTTGATCAATCTCTACCTTCCTTATATATTGATCTGGGTGTCTCTTCTTTGTACCCAGAACTTACTGACTCTAGCTGCTTTGCTCTCGGGTTCTTCTCTCCATCTCCCAGGCACAGGGATTACAAGCAGGCCACCTGGTATGTGTGCAGCGGATCTGAGTGCCAACTCTCATGCTTGCTTGGCAAGTGTTTTACTCATTGAGCCATCTTCCCAGTCCTCAATTTAGCCAAAATCTTGTCTGTGGAAAGCCTTTATGTCCAAGTTCAATATACGTGAAATGAATGAAGAGCACGGTACCCTGAAAGGATAGATGGACCACAGACACTTTGGCCAGTAATCTATGACAGAGGCCACCACAAAGAGTGCACAGGACTCCCAGGACCCCTAAATAAAATGCAATAAAAATCATTCTAGCTACAGGGGTCTTTTCTGAAGCTGATACTCCATCTGGCCAAGGACCATTCATGGAGATGGCCTGGAACCCCTGCATGGAGGTAGCCTATGGCAGTTCAGTATCCAAGTGGCCTCCATAGTACTGGGGAAAGGGACTGTCTCTGACATGAACTTATTGGCCTGCTCTTTGATCACCTTAAGGAAAATGGTTGTCAAAAAAATATCCTCCTGCCTTGTGATGGATGGGTGCCTGTGCCACGGCACAGAGAAGACACCAGGGGCTAGTTTAGGAAGTCCTGCCAGGACTATTATGTTGGGATTCTTTGGTTAACTTTGAAGGGCATATTTTCTCTCATTGGACCCTCCACGTTCCTCAGTTCCTCCTTCGCTCCCCTTATCTCCTTCCCAGTCACCATCAGGCAAGTGTTTTCTCTCAGCCACATACTCCCTACTGTGGTATTTCATTCAGACTTGCCACACGTCCACAGCAACAGAGCCAGTCACCACAGACAGAAACTTCTTTTCCAATTTTTGTTTTGTTTTGGGGATTTAATACATATATACAAGGAAATATGATTATCCACAACCCTCTCTTTCTCCCTTCCTGCTTCTCCATCCACCCCAGCAGGACTCCCCACCAACTTCAGGTCTTTTATTGTTTTTAATGCCCCACTATCTCCACTTAGTGCTGCTCATATGAATGCATGCTGAGCCACCTCCTGGAGCGGGGAATCCTAGACCACAGTCTGTGTCCCTTAGAGACTGCCAGCTACCAAAAGCTCCTCAGGGTGGGCAGAGGGCTGGAGATCATCCACCCCATGTGTGCCCGAATTTTGGCTGGCTTCGTTGTGCAGGTAACCATAGCTGCCATGAGGTCACAACTGTGGTAGCCCCACCATGTACAGAAAACAACATTTCTCAGCTCCCATCCCCCTTCTCTGGCACCTACATTCTTTCAGCCTCCCCTTCCACAGGACCAGGGAGGGGTGTTAATATAGATGTTTCAATTAGGACTGAACACTGAGTCTTTATACTCAGCACTAGACCAGCTCTGCTTCTCTCCGTTGACTGCTACCCACTGCAAATAATAATAATAATAATAATCTCCTTCTTCTTCTTCTTCTCCTCCTCCTCCTCCTCCTCTTCCTCCTCTTCCTCCTCCTTCTTACTCTCTAATAAAGAATGAAAGTGTCCTGAACAGGCAACTTCATAAAGACAGAAAATACCATTGCAGCACAAATGAAGATAGGGGTTTTTTGTTTTTGTTTGTTTGTTTGCTCATTTTTTGTGAAGGAGCCATATGTGTAAAGAAAAATCATCCTGAGTGCATTGGGGAAAAACAATTCCCTTAGCCATGGGATTCCCCAGGTGTGCTTTGAAGAGTCTTCATGTTTATTGATGTCGTTCTTTTATATTCTCACATGGTCGCCCACCATATACACACAAACATACACACACACAAAGCTCATAAAAGCTTAAAATCAGAAGCCATAATATATAAGCAAAAGACCAGTAAAGGAATCCCCATGAAGGCTGAACTGCCATGGGCTACATCTGTGCAGGGGATCTAGGTCCCCTCCATGCATGGTCCTTGGTTGGTGCATCAGTCTCTGAAGGGCCCCCTTTGCCAAGATTTTTTTGTTCTGTTGTTCTCCTTGTGGAGCTCCTGTCCCCTCCAGGTCTTTCATCTCCCCTTTCTTTCATAATATCCCCTGCACTCTGCCCAAAGTTTGGCTGTGAGTCTCAGCATCTGCTTCAATACCCTGCAGGGTGGAATCTTTCAGAGGCCCTCTGTGGCAGGCTCTTGTCCAGTTCCCTGTTTTCTCCCTCTTCTGATGTCTATCCCATTTGCCTTTCTGAATGAGGATTGAGCATCTTACCCAGGGTCCTCCTTGCTTAGCTTATTTAGGAGTATAGATTTTAGTAGGTTTATCCTATATTATATGTCTAATATCCACTTATCAGTGAATATATACCATGCGTATCTTTCTGCTTCTGGGATACCTCACTCAGGATGATCTTTTCAGAATGATCCATTTGCCTGCAAATTTCATTATTTCCTTGTTTTTAATGGCTGAATAGTATTTCATTGTATAAATGTACCACAATTTCTGTATCCATCAGTTGAGGGACATCTAGTTTTTTTTTCCAGATTCTCTCTATTGTGAATAAAGCTGCTATGAATATGGTTGAGCAAATGTCCTTGTTGTCTAGTTGAGCATATTTTGGATATAGTCCCAAGAGTGGTATAGCTGGATTTTTGAGGAAGTGCTATTCCTAATTGTCTGAGAGAGCTCCAGATTGACTTCTAAAGTGGTTGTACAAGTTTACATTCCCACTAGCAATGAAGAAGGGTTCCCCTTTCTCCACATCCTCTCCAGCATGTGTTGTCACTTGAGTTTTTGATCTTAGCCGTTCTGATGGGTGTAAGGTAAAATCTCAGGGTCGTTTTGCTTTATATTTTCCAGGTGACTAAGGATGTTGAGCACCTCTTTAAGTGTTTCTCTGGCATTTGATATTCCATCTGTGGACACTTTCGTCGTACCACTGGTTTCAGGCTCCAACCCCGCAGCCTTGGCCACCTGCCCTACTGTCTGTGGGTACTTTCCTGGCACCACTGGCTCATGGCTCAGTTCCCTTCTGGCTTTTTAAAGAACGATGTGAACTGCTTGTGGGATTTTGCCTCTTTGCTGTGCTTCCTTTCTCTCCCTCTCTTTGCATTCCTTACTTGAATTTTGGATGCATTGAACATCTCTAGGTTTTCAGAAGAGGTTTTGCATGTTTTTTAAAGGACACCATAAATTATAAGCAACATCAACAAAAGTCAACTCAGAGATCTAAAGCAAGGTACAGTGGTGGCGTTCCCATGAGGTTGTTCCCATTTTGATAACTGTGATGAGGTGTTCTAGTGGTTTGAAAGAAAATGGCCCCCGTAGGCCCATAGGGAGTGGCCCATAGGTTTGGCCTTGTGGGAGAAGGTGTGGCCTTGCTGGAGGAAGTGTTTCAGCTGCAGGAAGACCCGCTGCCAGAGGGTCACACTGTAGAACTCTCGGCTCTTCTCCAGCACCATGTCTGCCTGTGCACCACCATGCTTCCCTTCATGGTGACAATGGACTAAACTCTGAAACTGTAAGCTAGCCCAAATTAAATGTTTTCCTTTACAAGAGTTGCTGTGGCTATGCTGTCTCTTCACAGCAATAAAACCGAAGACAGATGTGAACCTTTGGTTTGCACATTTCTTTATACATTTTTGAAGATGAATAGTTGTGAGGGCTAGCCAGTTAGGGCCTATCTCTACACACACACACACACACACACACACACACACACACACACACACACTTCCCTTCCTGAAAATCGAAGGAACTAGAGGTTAACACACTAAGTGAAACACTATAATTCATAAGGACAGCTCCCCCCTGCTTTCAGGCAGCTATATAGAGAACATGAATGTAGTAAGGAGACCATGAGAAAAGGGAGAGCTCTAAGATGTAGGAGCGCGGAGGAAAAGGGGAAGGGAAAGGAGGAAGAAATATGGATATACTGGTGCATGTTTCCACTCGTGTGGACTATCTTTGTATATGTCATCTGTCTGTACTCTATCATCCATCCTATATCTGTGTATACATACTTAGGTACACATGTGTGACATGCAAACAGAATAGCGGCAGTTGAGGAAAAGTAGGAGGAATGTGAGAGGGATGAAGGAGGAAAGATGATAAAGTGGGGACAAGTATAAGCAAATTACATTTATTTGAGTTTTACATGTGACAAATCATTTTTCTGATATCACAATTTTTCCCAGGATTTAGATTCACAAAATATATATATAATTTCAAACCACCTAGTTTATATATGATGGCACACACTTGTAATCCCTATTTTGAGAGGCTAGGGCAGGTCCCATGCTATGAGTTCAAGACCTGCCTGCAATACCAAAGGAGACCCTAATCAAACACTTCCAAGGCTCTTATGTCTTCTTCGGCCCATTCCTCAAGGCTGGTGCATATTAGACTCGAGTCCCAATCTGGCCCGAAGAGGGCAGTGTGTGTGGTGAGCACCAGGTCCACAAGCTGCATGCTCCATCTGCATCGTGCTGGCCAGAGCGTAATGGAGGGAAGAGGAATAAAGAAAACAGATTCAGAAGTGAGTTAATCTCACCAGACTCAGGATGCAAACAAAGTTCCTGAACTTACAAGCACTGTAAGCGCCCAACTCTCAGGTTACATAAGCAGTAACAATTTCGAATGAGAGATAGCTTTAAGGTGAAGAGAATTTCAGGATCCAGCTGCTTTTGAATCACCTGTATATATATATAAACAAACCCTCATCCATGTTCCTGTTAGCATCCCTGGAAACTCGCTGGTACAATGAGCTAGATTTAGATGGAATTGTTCCTTTGGTCTCTCAATGGCCGTATCTGGAGTGAATAACTGTTCCTTTACAATTTTCTAAGAAGTCAACACCATCATGTTTTTTGACTTCTCAATTTAGTAATTCATTGCAGTACTCTGTAAATAAAAAAGGTTTAGCACAAATGTATTTATTAGCATAACAATAAAAATTCTCATTTTTAGTAATACTTGTTGATAAAACTAGTAATTGGTGTTTATTTTCTCATCAGAAATCAGGGAGTTTGGTGGTAACAATGAAGTAGAGATAGACAGTCCCACGAACCAGGGAGTTGCATATATCTACCTTGGTTTGGTGTCATCACATCTTATGTTCCACAGGAGATAACTAGCACAGATGCTGAGCAAGCTCAAAGAACACCCAGAATTATTAGTGCACGAGATTACTATAGTCTTTGTCTCTGGATTCATTTACAATCTGGATTGATTTCTGGTCCAGCAGGATGCAGCATCATAAGGGATCATTCTACATCAAGCTCCACTTACAGTCTCATCCCTTGACACAACCTTTAGAAAGACTGGTTTCTCTGGTTGAAGAAGTCCTTGCTTGCTAAATGTTAAAGGGATCTGCAACAGTTATGCAAGTACAAGAAACAGTCAATGAAATGAACCACAAATGCAAAGAAGAGACACACAATTGCTGAAAGTGCTTTACAAGCACAAAAACTACTCTTACTGCCAACATCCTTTCTTAGATGCTGTCTACCTTTTTGGAGACAGAGTTTCTCACTGGCCTGAAACTCATAAATTATGCTAGGCTGGCTGGTTGGTGAGCCCAGGAAACTGCTGCTCTCTGCCTCCCTGATGCTGGGATTATGACAGCATGCCAACACACCTGGTTGGTATTAGGTGGGTTGTTCGGTTGTTTGATTGGTGGTTGGGTTTTTTTGGTGGGTAGGTATGTGGGTTATTTGGTTTGTTTGCTTGCTTTGTTTTGCCTGCATTTTAGGGCTTAAGCTCAAGTCCACATCTTTTCAAGGCAAGAAACTTACTGACTAACCTATCACCTGAATTTAGAGTCTTTCTACTTCCACCTTTTAAAACAAAAGATACAACTCTAAAACTGAAATACTTAAACTCTTCAATAGATATTGCAATAAAGTCCTTGATCAATATACTTTTATGCAAATCAATTTTCCAGTTAAAAAGCAAAACTTCCAAAAAAGCATAACTTGCTGAGAAAGCACACTGACCTGAGTTTCCTTACAAGGTTGGAAGGAGAAGTTCTGCAGGAGTCTGACAAGGGCAACTTTCATGTTCATGAGAGCAAACCTCATGCCAATGCAGTTCCTGGGTCCGTTCCCAAAGGGCAGGTATGTGTAAGGGTTGATGCTGTCCTGGTTCTTCTTGCTGAACCTGGTACCACAGGAGCAGAGGAAGACAAGTTCATGAAGCATGAACCACAACAGCTGATTGTGGGTATCTTTTAGAATACCTGGGCTGGTTGTGGAAATGCTGGTGTGACTATTACAGTTTCTCACTTGCATGCAATGCATTGTGATTATTTTCTACTCCTACATTAACTTATGGTATAGTCTCCCCAACTCTATTCATTCTCTTCTTCCCAACTTGGCCCCCCTCTATTTCTTTGTCTATTTTGTGCAAGTCTCTCACAAGTGGTCACAGATGTCGTATGTTCATGATGGCTATGGCCAGAAGACATTATTAGCACCACTACCCTTTCTCAGTTCTTACAGCCTTTCCACCCCTACTTCTGTGATGTTCCCTGGGCCTTAGAGTGGGTGCCCTGCCAGAGGAATTATATGTTACAAGTCTTCCCTCTTGCTTTACCATGGAGAAGTTCTTAATCATATTGAGATGAGGTAAGCATTGTTTGAAAAAACATTTATCTTTAAACATGATCATTGCATTTAGTGTGATTTGTTCATTCTCTGAGACACAAGAAATGAGACCAATTGAGGAAAAGTGTGTTGTTAGCTGAACTAACCCTCATTGAAATTGGAGGTTAAATTACTCACCACTACTGAAATTGTTTTTCTTTCTCTTCTCTTTATTATTTTGTCTTCTCTCTGTTGTTCTTTTTTCTTTTCTCTGTTATTCTCTTTTCAACTTGCTCCCTCTTATTTCTTTTCTTTGGTGTTTACCTTCCATTTCTCCACACTTCTCTCCATCTCTCACTCTGTTCCTTCCAACTTCCCATCCTTCCTTCCTCCACCCTTTTCTTCCCTCCCTCTTTCTTTTTTCTTCCTCATCCTTCTTCTTCCTTCTTCCTTCTGTTCCTTCTCTAGCCTCCTTTTTCTTCCCCCTCCCCTCCCTTCTTTTTCTTCTTCTTCATCTCTTCCTTCTTCACATGATATAATATAATCATTAATTTGTTTCTCTGTGTGCTCTCATAGTTATAAAAATCAGAAAGGACAGACAAATTTAATGCAAATTAGATACATGTTAATAATACTTAAGAGAAAAAAATACTAGTTTGAGAAAAGTGGTAATTGCAATGTGACTATGTACTTGAAGTGTTTTTTAATGGTTTATAAAGTTCTGATGTATATTAGAGCATTGTAGTTTCAAAAACATAAGAGTTGTAGATGTGTGTGAATAAACACCACACATGGGTGAATGGTTATTGGTCACATAGAATTCCATTGAGAGTGTTCTGGATATTGATTTGCATACAGCGATTTGGTCAAACATTCTCTGTTGTAGAAATTTAATAAGATTGATTCACAGTGTTTGGAGTAGTTCCTCATACACATTAAGCACTTATTGTCTTGTTTCATTTTTAAATGAATGTAAGAGAAGTGAATACATTCAATTGTCTGTGTGTCACAAAGCTATAAGAAGTGGGATTGCAGAAACTGGAGGGAACACAGAAGCCATCTGGTCTAGAAGACAGAAGAACCGATGAGCTCTGGTTAACTTCCTCAGCAAGTACTATAAATGTAGACCTCATGGTGCCTAAATGACACATTGCAGCTAACAACATAAGGTACCAGAAATCAGGAGGTGCATAGTTAAAGGCAATGACTGTCTAGATCCTGGGCCTTTAGGCTTGCCAGCCTCTGTCCTAAAAACACCACTCTTTATTTGATAAGAAAACAACTAGACTGTAAGCCTGACCCTAGTTCCAGTATTCCAGAAGAGCTCAGTGGAGCCACCTCCCAAGAAGGATGTGTCAGACTTCTAGATGGCAGGTGACATAGCTTTGGACATGGGGTGAGAGAGCTGTCCAGAACAACAACCAGAGGCAGTAGTGCAAGGACATATTGATCCTCTGTTCTCAGCAGGGCTGCTCAAACCAGGCCTTAACGGCACCATTACAGCCATTCTGTAGGACCCAAGAAGCAACTTCTCATCAAACAAAACAATGTAAATATTCCCTAAAGGTAATGGAAACAGCTAAGAGGAACAGCAAGAAAATAAAACAAGATAGCACTGAGGACACTGTTACAGATGCTACTCTTGTCGTAAAAGTTTGAACAGGTAAATGGATGAATAGATAGATGATAAGTAGACACACAGACAGACTGCTATTTCTACTTATGTGTCTTCAACACCAGGAGACAACGCATAATGAAGGGACTAGTTGGTTCTGAGAGTTTCTCTTTCCCACGTGCCTGTACCTTTCAGGGCGGAACTCCTCAGGCTCTGGCCAGTACTTTGGGTCTTTGTGGAGAGCAAACATTGGCACCATCACCACAGTCCCTTTGGGAATGAACACCCCATTGATCTCAACATCTGTCTTACAGACCCTCTCAAGTCTTCCGGCAATCGGATATAATCTGAGAGTTTCATTCACTACCATGTCTAGATACTCCATCTGTAGCAGGACATCATAGGTGGCAGGTGCCTACAAAAAGGGAGAGAGATTTTCATAAATTAAGATTTTGAACTAACTTTTATCTGTGGAGAACTGCTAAGGTATTACACTACCAAAGGAAAATTCATATTTATGGAGAACCTTAGCATTTACAAAGCAGTTTAATAAATGGCGTACTTCAGTCTGCTCAATGCATCTCTAAGAAATGTAGGGTAATTATAAAATACAGAAAGACTTTTTAACAATTCCAAACCCAAGACCTGAAATCCTCAGAATTACCATATACTGCTTTTTCTTTCTTATGTGAGGAACCATAACTAATAGATTATGATAAATAAAGTAAACAAAAACTTGACACACTGAGAATTACCTTTCCAAAGAGGAGTCACACACGTGTGCTTGAAGGTATAGACAACATAGGAAGAGAACACATACCTATATGAAAATGTCCTATATGGCCATTCTTCTGATTGTATATAAAGTTTGGAAGCATTAGCTAGGTCTGAGGAGATACTAGTTTCTTCTATATTAAAGATGACAAAAGACAGATGCAAATCACTGCTACCACCACAGTGTTCAATTTCAACCCTGGTAAAGGTCACAATGAGAACAGGATCCATCATTTAGCCCCAATCTCTGTTGCTGGTCCACCTTGCTGGCTGTTCTTTCAGGGCTTTCCTATGAGGTCTGAACATAACGATGAGCCAGATAAACCACCCATAAACCAGATAATCTCACAACTCACAGTCTCCTAGTTTGGGCAGAGTTGTAAAGACTGATGTGAGAAACTTGTGAGTATGGCTATATGGGATCTTTTGGACAGACCATAATGTCAGATTAAGAGTCTGATGCAGAGAAAGGAGAACACTCTTCCATTGCTGGTGGGAGTGTAAACATGTGTACAACTATTTTGGAAATCAATCAGGCACTTTCTTAGAAAATTGGGAATAGCTTTACCTCAAGACCCAGCTACACAATTCCTAGGCATATACCCAAAAGCTGCTCCACCATACAATATGGATATTTGCTCAACTATGTTCATAACAGCTTTATTTGAAATAGCCAGAATCTGGAAGCAACCTAGATGTCCCTCAATCAAAGAATTGATAAAGAAACTGTGGCATATTTACACAATGAAATACTTCTCAGCTATTAAAAACAAAGAAGTCATACCATTTGCAGGCAAATGAATGGAACTAGAAAAGATTATCCTGAGTGAGGTAACCCAAGCTTAGAAAGATACACATGGTATATACTCACTTATAAGGGGCTTTTAGCCATAAAATACAGGATAAGCATACTATGAGGCACAGACCCAAAGACAATAAATAACAAGGAGGATCCAAAGAAGGATGCAGAAATATCACTTGGAATGGGAGACAGAATAGACAGAGGTAGTGGTTGAAGACAGGGAAGAAGGTAGGAGAGGGGGTGCAGAGAGTTAAGAGAGTGGAGATCAGACCTGGAGGGGGGGGGAAGAGAGGACAGAAGCCTATAGAGAAAAGAGAAACTGAGGGTGGGGACATCTCTGTAACAAGCTTGAGACTAAGTCAGGGTAGGCTCCTGGGAAGATATGAGGAGATTCAAGCAGAGACCCTCTAGTAGAAGAAACCATAAAGACTGAAGAGGACATCTTCTAACTAGACTAGTCTCCTAGTAGAGGGAGAAGAACACCAACTCACCTACAAAACTTCAACCCAAATTTTATCCTTCGTACAAGATGTGCAGGCATGATAGAGCAGAGATTGAGGGAATGCCCAGCCAATGCCTGATCCAACCAAAGACCCACTGTCTTTATGGGAGGGAGCCAACCCCTGACATTATGAATGATACTCTGCTAGGCTTGCAAACAGGAGCCTGTCAGAGTTGTCATCTGAGATACTCTACCTAGCAGTGTCTCAAAACAGATGCTGAGACTCATGGCCAAACATTGGGCAATGAGTAGGAAGTCTTGTTGGAAAGTGGGAAGAAAGAGAAAAGAACCTGGAGGTGACAGGAGCTCCACAAGAAGACCAACAGAGTGAACTAACCAGGGCCCAGAGGGTTTTGCTGAGACTGAAGCATCAATCAAAGACTATGCATGAACTGGACCTAGGACCCCTCCAAAGATGTAGCAGATGGGCAGCTTAGGCTTCATGTGGGTCGTCTAGTAAGGGAAGTGGGGACTGCATTGGAAAAGGACTCACTTGCCAGCTTTTTGAACACTTCCCCCTGGTGGGACTGCTTTTCCAGGCCACAGGGCAAGAGGACGTGCTCAGACCTGATGCAACTTGATGAGCTGGGAGGGAGGGAAAGGGAGCTCCCCTTTTCTCGAGAATAAGTGAGGGGGTAAGGAGGGAGAGTGGGACTGGAAGGGGAGGAAGGATAGGGCTACAACCAGGATGTAAAGTGAATAAAAAAAATTTAATGAAAGAAAAAATTGGCTGGGTAGTGAAGGGGTATTAATCAATGAGTAATTGTGGGATGAATATGATTAAAATACTTTGCATGAAAAATGTTTCCATATGCAACAAAAGTTAATTTATCCTTTTTGTAAAAAAAAAAAAAAAAAAAAAAAAAAAAAAACAGTTTGATTCAAGGGTCACCTATTGGCGGAGAAAGATGTGTGGGGCAGTGCTAAGTCAATCTGCCTAGCCCAGCCAGCCATGGCCAGTCCCACATAGCCAACAGCAGGTAACAGCACAGCACATGACATCAACAGATCAGACTATCCAGACACTTGAGTAGCCAGTGCTCACACCTCTGTGCCTCTGTGATTTTGAGGATGTTTCTTGGTAGTTTTTGGTGACAGATAATGGATAAAGATATACCAACATTCACCTGCAAATATGTTATTGCATTAAAAAGAAAAAAAAAACAGCATCCAGTGTCTAGTCTTCATTAATTTCTCTTTTCTTAATTAAAGATGGTGAAAGAATCAATGCTTATAATTTTGTTGAAAACTTCTCCCTGGGTGGAATAAGGAGCCATTCCAGCCAATGCTTCTCCTCGTCCCTTCCTCCCTCTCCAAGTTTGTGCCCTTACCTTGTTGGGCAGAGTGGCATCAATTTCGTCTTGCAGTTTCTTTTGGACATCAGGGTGTGTGGCCAGCAAATACATAATAAAGGAAAGAGCGCTGCTGGTGGTCTCATAGCCAGCAAAAATAAAGATAACTGACTGAGCCACAATCTCCAGATCAGATAAAGCTGAAGGGAAAGGAAGTACATTTTCGTTTATTTCATTTGTGTGTCTGTGGGTGTGTGCATGTAAGTACGTATGTACGTGTGTCTGTGTGAACGGGAGTATGCCATGGCATTCTGTGGTGGTCAGAGGACAACTTGTAGAAATGCATTTTCCCTCCTCACAACATTTGGTCCTGGAGTTTGAAATCAGCAGTTAGACGTGGCAGCAAGTACCCTCATCTGCTAACCAGTATTGCTGGCTACTAGATCTGTATTTAGGTAATGGAGATCAGTATTTTAAAACATCATGGTTTGGATGAAATAAACAACCCAACTAAATATCCCAAATCCCTAAAAAGATCATGAAAAACCAATTCAGAGTCACCCGAAGGCGGTTCTTACCCTCATGTTGGTCCGACAAGGGACTGAAATGGGCAAGTCACTGCTGTCCAGTGTCCCTAAGGCCATCTTCCCTTTCTGCCATCCTCAATACCCCCCCAGTGAAGTCTCAAGAGGAAGCATCTCTGTCTAATGTGCACAATTTCTTCAACACACCCCACAGATAATTAGGAATCTACCTATTTTGTCTCTCTGTAAGAATCAAAATCATAACTGCTCAGTTACTGGCAGGCTGGTATGGCGTATTTTAACTTTTAGTCTGCCCAGTTTTTAGCTTTTTATTAGATTTTATTTTACTTGCACGTGTGTGCACGCCTTGTGCACTCTGCACATGGTGCACACGTGTAGGAGATGAGCACGGGTGTGCGCGTTATTGGACATGGACTCAGAAGAGGGCTTCTGGGGTCTTCTTCCATCATTCTTTGTGGCATTTCTTGGGAACATGGTTTCTTGCTGAACTAGAAGTTCATTATTTCAGCTAGTTTGGCTAGCCACTGAGCTCTGGGTCTTCCTGTTTCCACCTTCCAATTTGGGGGCTATGCAGGCACATGTAGCCATGACCTCAAGCGTATGTCTGGGAGCCGGACTGTCCAGGGAACCAGCCCCTGTTTTCTATATACTCAGCCACAAGGCTACACCTCCCCCTACTGTGCCCAGCTCCCCCCTTTCGTAAGTATGTGAAAAGGAAAAAATGCAAACGTCAGAGTTGGCCGGAGCCCTTCCCTCCAGCCGTGACTTTTAACCATGTAATAATGTACAGAGAAGTTGTTGGTGTTCGAAGACTCCATGTAACTGTGCAATTTCTGTACATTTGCAATTAGAAATATTAAAGATTTATTTAGCTATTTAAAAAATAAAATAAAATAAAATAAATTTTAGACAGAATAATTTAATTTTTGTTAAGGGAGAATACTGTCATCTGTTTTGCTTATATGAATTAGCTTTCCCAGGACTGGAAAAATGGGTAAGAGCACTCCTTCCTAGGACTGGGAAAATGGCCCAGTGGGTAAGAGCACTCCTATTTTGTAACTTTAAGGACTTTGGTTTGAACACCCAGCACCCACATAAAAACATGGAAATGTTGTGAGTGGGTATGCAACAGAAAATCTTGAATGCATGGAACATGAGAAAATCCATAAACTGTGCCTGTCTCTAGAAACCTGAGGCAATAATGTTAAAGCGACTCAAAGTGTGGTCAGTGGAGCAGCAGCAACAACTGGGAGGTTCTCAGTCCACCTCAATCTACCAGTCAGTATCTGGACTCTCAAGAGCTATGGTATGAACTTGCATAATCTATTGAACAAATAAGGGTTGCCAATCTTCAAAATGCAATTTAGAAATTAAGGGAGCTACAGAGGAAAAGGAATGATTATGGAGTATAGAGTGATGACCTAGAGAATGGATCAGCCTATTGAGAATGTAAGTTGAGAAAGCCAGTCCTGATGAGACCTGATAGGCTAGGGTTAGAGGGAAGGGGAGGA